ATTTTCAACAAACTCTTAACTTGTGAAAAAAATGGAAGAAAAAAACACTAGTCAGATACTGATTGGGATATTTTTTACAATGCAATGGAGAAAAACTTAAAGGGATACTATAGTCACCAGAACAAGTATAGCTTAATGTAGTTGTTCTGGTGAGTATAATAATTATATGCAGGCATTTTCATGCAAACACTGCCTTTTTTAGAGAAAAGGCAGTGTTTGCATTGCCCCTAGAGACACCTCCAAGTGGCCACTCCTCAGATGGTCACTGGAGGTGCTTCCTGGCTCAGTGCTACACAGTAGGCAGCTCTACCATTCAGCGTCCCCACGCTCTCCTCATAGAGATGCATTAATTTAATGCATGTGTATGAAGAGGTGCTGATAGGCCAAAACTGCATTTGACCCCGACCCCTTGCTGGGAAAGCATTGGATTGGCTAAAAATCAGCAATTCTGATGATGTCACCAAGGGGACGGGGCTAGTGCTGGCAGACCCTCACAGCGCTGGAAATAAAGGGAGATTTTCATGCTTCTAAGGAAGGTAAGGGGAAGGGGGGGGGCATGCCACCTTAATGGTGGGTTTTGCACTATACGGTAAGGAATACATGTTTGTGTTCCTGACTCTATAGTGTTCCTTTAAAGTCATTCAACTACAGCTAATTGAATTTGTTCTGGTGAGTACAATTTGTTCTGGTGAGTAGAACCTTCAGGCTTTTTACTGTAAACACTGTGTTTTCAGAGAAAATGCAGTGTTTACCTTACAGCCTAGTGATAACTTTACTGGCCACTCCTCAGATAGCTGTTAGAGATCCTTCCTGGGTCATGGCTGCCTAAAATGCATCCAAACATTCAGTATCTCCTCCCTCTGCATGCAGACACTGAACTTTCCTCATAGAGATTAATTGATTCAATCAATCTCTATGAGGAGATGCTGATTGGCCAAGACTGTGTTTAAATTATGCTGGCTCTGCCCCTGATCTGCCTCTTTGCCAGTCTCAGCCAATCCTATGGGGAAGCACTGTGATTGGATCAGGGGCACTGTGATTGGATCATTGGATCAGGCTACCACTTCTGATGTCAGCAGACTGCTTATTTTTTTTTTAGGCAAACAGCATGAGGAGTTACAGCTTCTGGCTTGAATACAGTAAGATTTTGCTATATTTATGGAGGCATGAGGGACCCAGGGGGGGCTAGATGGTGGTTTTAACACTATAGGGTCTGACCCTATAGTGATCCTTTAAAGGGTTACTTCAGGCACCATGACCACTTTAGTGATTTGAACTGGTCATGGTTCCTAGAGTCTGATGTGCAGTGTTTCTCATTGAAACGCTGCACACACAGACTTACTCCACCACTTGCAATGCCATTGGGGTGCTTTCAGCTGTCTTCTCCCAGTCAATTAATTAAATTATTTATTATTATATTACATTAGAATATACACAGAATTGACCTTTGATTAAGTTAAGTCTGTGTAAATTACCATGTACTGAATCAAATACTTTGACTGAGAGTGGTCAGCTAATGCTCTCAACCAGTGAAAAAAGTGGCAGGATGAGCATCTGGCTTCAGCAGGTTTGGAGTAGATGAATAATGTAAATCCTGTTTCAGCGGAGACCCGGCGCTGCCAAGACCAGGTAGAGGGCAAACCATTGTATTATGGTTTGCCCATTACTGGGGAATGACCAGGGTATTCTTACCATCAAAACCACTATAGCAGGCTGTAGTGGTTATGATGATTGGAGTAACTGTTAATACAGGAATCTTTATCAAAATGTGTTTGGCCCTCCCAATTTCTGCACCAGTGCTCTCCATTTCCTCGACACCTTGGCACCATTACCTACCATGAATAGAAAGGCTTATAAGCAGGGTTTTTAGTCTGAATATTTGCTTTTTTTTGGGGGGGGGGGAGGGGGGAGCAAAACTGTAATCTTCTATCTCATACAGAACTATGTAATAATTCATGTATATGGATGTCACATATTTACAAATAAAATACATACACCATAGAACTACTCATAATGTGCTACTTGTGATTGCATGGGCTTGTAGAGCTTTTTTTTTTAATACATTCAAACATTGTAATGTTTCGCATTTTTGTTTTGGTTTTCAAAATCAATACATTTTCTCCTGCAAAGTCTGTTAGGTGAATACACAGATGTATTTATTTTTAATCCTTTGAACCCATAAACAATACAGGATTTAAAACTTGGCTGGTTTATTATATGCTGCTAATTTTTGAGTCACTGTTTGAGTGACTTTATCAAACAGTAATCCCAATTCAGAAGCTCATGTTTTAACAGTGAACGCAATGGAAATGAATAACAAATCTCTACACTATAGGAATCAAATGGTTTTCAGTTACCATGACCAAGTAAGTACTAATGCCCACTTTAGTGCATAAACCAGTTACAGTTAGCAGCTATTAAGGCAGGAAGTACTGTGACACATTTCAGAGACTGTTTTTATCCTTTATAAGTTTGAAGTATAAACTTTAAATATATAAGGACATTTCACATATTTTCTGAACTTCTGTCAAAATCGTGCTCTATTATAAAATCTTAACATTTAGAAAAATATATTATACAAATTCTATAACATTATGATTTGGGATATCATCTTATCCAAGAAAACAGTTTCTGTAGTGGTGTCCATAGCAACCTTAAAAAAGGATGGAATACACTTTCTTTCTTTTTATGTTATGAGAACCTTGTGTTGATTTCAGTCTAACATAATGCAAACTGGAAAATATTTACAGAGCTGTCACAAACATCATGAATGAGAAAAAGAAGAATCACACTGACCCAGTTGGGTTTAGTTTTGGAACAATCTGTGCACTGTGGAACATTCTGAGTGTACATCTTTCTTGCTGTATATTATAAGAAAGGTTTTATACAAGGCAGCTGTCTGGTTTTCTGTTTTACTTTAACCTGGCATATATTTTGGATTGGTAGTCTTCAAGGTATAAAAGTATGAGCATTTAAGAGCCTCTTGATCAGAAAATTCTTCATAAAACAATAGTTTGACATATGTGTTCATAATTTTCTCAGCATCAATGTATTACTCAAACTATATATATATATGTGTATATATATATATATATATATATATATATATATATATATAGTCAGCTTGACACTCTCCCAGCTTCTTTGTCTTTGCCTTGGTGCTACTCGCGTTGCATATATATCCATTTAACATCAAGGGTACACTCATAGGTCTTGTGAATATCCAGATTGGCTTTAATCACAAAAAGCAAATAATTATATCTGTAATTTGATCAATGTTTCGACCCCTGAGGGTCTTTCTCAAGATCACAGAATGTTTGACAATATTTATATAAGAAACATAAAATGTAGCAGAGCCCTAGTCCTAGCAGGGACTCTCCTCCACTGGTTACTCCAAAATATGCTCAAGAACAAGTAAAACAATCAAATGGAACAGTCAGGCACACCAAATCATACCAAGAATCTCCCACCTCATCCCCAGCAACTGGACGACACTCAACTCTGGGGGTATAACTGAATTTTATTTACACATACACAGCTTTTATACCATTTTCCATGCAAGGGGTCTCATAGTCCAAAAATAAAAGGTTTTAATCCCAGGATCCTTTGTTCCTGAGCGATAATTGCCTGAGTAAACTCCAATTTTATTATCTCACAGGTACCAAAAATCCCAAAAATATTTCAGGCCCCAAAAGATCCCCAACCATACATAGGAACCCCACAAAAAGTACATTCCTTGATAGCCCCGATCTCAGTGACCAACATATCCAAGAATCACTCAGATCGATTTGGTAGAACGGGAATGGCAACGTGTGGAAGATTTGACCGGCCAGACACGAAGTGGTAGTCCAAAATAGTTCCAGGAGAATAGGTGCCCTGGCTGGTCTCTGTTCGTGAGGTTCCTGTGCGAAAACCATACAAGAGAATCTCTTGCTTTTACAATACAAATGCCCCCCCCCCCCGTTTGATACTTTAAATCACCCGAACGCTGTTTGTGTAGGTGGTCGGGAACAGGAACGGGCAGCGGTCGACATTTTACTGGTGTTCGCGTGAATGCCAAGCCGAAAATAGTTACAGGCACTCAATGACCATGTACCGCTGCCCTCATTTGGGAGACAATATGGCCACCATTCTTCCAGCTATGAGTTCGGTTATACGAAATGGCGGCCACCCAGGAGAAGCACTCATTAATTGTTTCCCTTGCAGTTTCGCACTTAAGTGGTTGGTGTTAACGTTCTAATGGGGTACAGGGGTGGTCCTCATTAAAAAGACTAATGGATTCCGTTCTTATAAAGTATCCCTAATTGTCAAAGAAGAACCACACGAAATAACCAAGCAAAATACACAAAATAACAGGGGGAGGATACGGACAGCCAATATATGGAATAAAAAGTAGCTTGCAAATGTCCATTCCTCTACATTAAACACTTACCAATCAGTTTCTGGAAGAATCATGCACTCCCACCACTCTTGGACTGATTAAAACCCAGGAAGTGATGGGAAGTCGCATGTGACATCACCACGTCATAACGTAATGCGGGAGACAAACGTGGTTGCTTAATATCGCATACACAAAAGTGATCCATGCATGAAAATACACAAGCCATGATAAAAGAAGTCTGCTAATAAAATATGTCCCAGTAGGGGGTGGAGCCAGCAGCCATACTGTGAGGACGCATCTTCCTCAAGCTCCAAGCACAAATGATGAAATAAGCATTTCCCACAGGAACTTCCTTGCAAAACCTGGCACAAAGGTGATATTTACCACACTGAAGGCATGGGGCAATGCACCAAGAAATACAAAGTGGAACGACCCCCCGCAACGGCCGATATCGGTGAACTACTGAGAAGGCCGCAAGCATCTGGACGGCCCGAAATGGCACCAATGTCTGATGGGATCCTCCAGTGACGAGATCTCGGCTGATGGGGAGGACTACTACACTAAGGTACCTACCAGACCTGTACCCCCAAAGCCCTTACCGGCTGCGAAGCCTCCTGTCATGGAGGACATGCTGCGGAGCCTATTAGATGAGCTACACCGGAACATTGCAACCGACATCGGGCAGTTCCGGGAGGAAATCAATGGTGTCTCGGCACGCTTGCAACACACTGAATTAAACACCACGGATCACGAGAACCGCATACAAACACTGGAGAGACAGATGGCTGCCTTACAACAAGAACAGACACAAGCCAAAGAAAATATGGCAGTAATGGAAGACAAAAGGCGCTGGAAGAATATTAAAATTAGAGGCCTGCCTGATACACTAGAGCCTGCGGAGTTCCGCACCTATTCCGCAGTATGCGCAATACGTTATTTCCCGCCAAACAGGCCAAGGCGATGCCTCTAGATGTGTACAGAATCCCCAAACCAGCCACAAGCACCCAGAGCAATAGCAGGGACACCATCATCTGCTTAATTGTTTCCCTTGCAGTTTCGCACTTAAGTGGTTGGTGTTAACGTTCTAATGGGGTACAGGGGTGGTCCTCATTAAAAAGACTAATGGATTCCGTTCTTATAAAGTATCCCTAATTGTCAAAGAAGAACCACACGAAATAACCAAGCAAAATACACAAAATAACAGGGGGAGGATACGGACAGCCAATATATGGAATAAAAAGTAGCTTGCAAATGTCCATTCCTCTACATTAAACACTTACCAATCAGTTTCTGGAAGAATCATGCACTCCCACCACTCTTGGACTGATTAAAACCCAGGAAGTGATGGGAAGTCGCATGTGACATCACCACGTCATAACGTAATGCGGGAGACAAACGTGGTTGCTTAATATCGCATACACAAAAGTGATCCATGCATGAAAATACACAAGCCATGATAAAAGAAGTCTGCTAATAAAATATGTCCCAGTAGGGGGTGGAGCCAGCAGCCATACTGTGAGGACGCATCTTCCTCAAGCTCCAAGCACAAATGATGAAATAAGCATTTCCCACAGGAACTTCCTTGCAAAACCTGGCACAAAGGTGATATTTACCACACTGAAGGCATGGGGCAACGCACCAAGAAATATAAAGTGGAACGACCCCCCGCAACGGCCGATATCGGTGAACTACTGAGAAGGCCGCAAGCATCTGGACGGCCCGAAATGGCACCAATGTCTGATGGGATCCTCCAGTGACGAGATCTCGGCTGATGGGGAGGACTACTACACTAAGGTACCTACCAGACCTGTACCCCCAAAGCCCTTACCGGCTGCGAAGCCTCCTGTCATGGAGGACATGCTGCGGAGCCTATTAGATGAGCTACACCGGAACATTGCAACCGACATCGGGCAGTTCCGGGAGGAAATCAATGGTGTCTCGGCACGCTTGCAACACACTGAATTAAACACCACGGATCACGAGAACCGCATACAAACACTGGAGAGACAGATGGCTGCCTTACAACAAGAACAGACACAAGCCAAAGAAAATATGTCAGTAATGGAAGACAAAAGGCACTGGAAGAATATTAAAATTAGAGGCCTGCCTGATACACTAGAGCCTGCGGAGTTCCGCACCTATTCCGCAGTATGCGCAATACGTTATTTCCCGCCAAACAGGCCAAGGCGATGCCTCTAGATGTGTACAGAATCCCCAAACCAGCCACAAGCACCCAGAGCAATAGCAGGGACACCATCATCTGCTTCCAGCAGAGCCAGGACCAACTAGCCTTCATGGCGGCCATCCACAAAAGATCAATTTGAGGAACACTCGTTAACATTTTTTACTGACTTATCCAGAGCTACCTTGGATTGGAGACGCTCACTACACCCGCTGACGAAGGAACTCATTGCCCGTAAAATATTGTACCGCTGGGGAGCGCCGAGAAGCCTAATCATACCAAAGGAACATGGCAACCTGAAACTCACCAATGCTGCTGAAATACCCGGTATAGTGCAGGTCCTTGAACTGCCCGAGCAAACGGTTGCAGTACTATCTCAGCCGACACCTTCCACTACTACTCACTGGGACCCAGGGAAGGTGCGCCCATTCGTACCTGCGGCCCTCCGAGGAAACCCATCGTCACCCTCAGGGTCATGAACTGCTCACAGAATACCACAATAATCTATAGAACCTTCTGCAATTTAAGTACTGTTTCTTTCTTCTCGTTATCTCCATTTACGTTAAATGTTTATCACATGTTCACATAACTGCATAACCCCCCGCGAGAAGCTCCTAGGAGCACAGCAGACGGCTCGTACTATATGTACTCATTTGATCTGCCTTCCAGTACAAATAGCCCACCCAGCCTCTAAATAACTAACATAAGTCTGGGTAGTTTATATTGTACGACTGTTTGTATTATCTAGGCCATAGAAGCGCCTGATTAACATGTATAATCAATACCTATTTACAAATGTTCTTAGATATGTTTACTCACCATGCATATACTAAAATTTGTGCCATTCCCACAAGTCCACCCAGCTTATAAATAACTAACATAAGTCTAGGTAGTTGATATTGTAAGACTGTTTGTATTATCTAGACCACAAACATGCCTGTTTAACATGTATAACCAATACCTATTTACAAATGTTCTTAGACATATTTACTCTACACGCATATTCTAACAAAAATTGTGCCATTCCCGCAAGCCAAGATACTGTTTCTTATTGTACTACCTTAGCCCGTACCAGCTGTTGTGGCGATACGAGCTTGTTTGTATTACTTACGCACTGCAAAAATAAATAAATGATATATAAAAAAAAAAATATGTCCCAGTACATGTACGGAGGACTAAATAAATGATATCTAGTAGGACACAAGGAAGGAGTCTGACAGTGAAAGGGAAAATAAATGTGAAAAGATCGTGATGGGGAGACGCGGTGGCAATGCAAAATATGAGGATAGTGAGAGTTGTCATGTGGTGATGAAATACAAACAACTGGAGTGTAAGAACTTTTAGAACCCATACTGTCCTAAATGCTATTTAATCTATATCCCGAGGTGTATAATATAATCAAAGTGTTGGATGCACATAAACCAACGTATGTAACTATAGGTGAGATACAATAAAGAATGTAAAAACATAATGATACATCATAAACCCTACTAATGGGGCATAAATCAAGAAACAGAGCTCAATCCGGAGCATAGAAAATAATACCTGTCTACTATATATTAACAATATTAAATGTAACATAGTTAGGTTTAAAGATAATTCAAATTATATTGTCCTATCCTTTTAGAGGAAGAAAGCAAGAGCAAGGAAATATTTAAATAAACATAGAATACACTATATTCTCATTAAGCCCATTAGGGGCCACGGTGTCTAAATTGTGAATACAATTCTCCTACATTACATCATTACGTTATGACTTGATGACGTCACATGCGGCTTACCGTAACTTCCGGGTTTGAATCAGTCAGAGGGTGGTGGGAGTGCATGATTCTTCACAAAACTGATTAGTAAGTGTTTTATGCTTCTTATGTATATATTGTCACATTGTCATACATTCTGTGATCTTGAGAAAGACCCTCAGGGGTCGAAACGTTGGCCAAAATACTGATGTAGTTATTTGCTTTTTTTATTAACACCACTATTGATATTCACAAGACATAGACATAGACATAGAGATAGAGATCTCCACCAAAGAAAAATGGTTTGTACTCTCAGGTCTTCCAAAAGTTTAATAGGTGCTATTTTTAGTGAAAAAAAATCCTCAACAGCTGTGCTTTTCAATTGACTTTTCAATAAGCACAAACAGTGTTTATTAAAAAAAACAAAAAACTATGAATTATGACTTACCAATAGTGTGGTTGGACAGCCCAGAGACCAAATCAACCTAGAAGTGTGAGGAGACAGGTGTGATGTCATTAAGTCCACAGAGTGTTGCGTGGTTACTAGGCAACCCTCACTGTAACAAAAGGAGAATGCACACTAGAATCACTAGAAAGTGTTATGCAAATACTTAACCCGACCAGTAAATGGTACAACAAACAAAGCAGAAAAACAAAGTGACAATATAAAAGCAAAAGAAAGCAAACTAATAATTACCACAATTCTTACAAGCCTATTATGGCAGAAACACAAGCCCCTAATACCCCCAATGTTTTGGCACCTCCTGTCTGTCTTTTTCAAGGGTGTTTTGAAAAAGGCTGGTGTTTTTTTTCTTTAAATTGTTCCATTCCTAGCCATGTCTTATTCCACATAATGCATTAGCAAAGAGTAAAACTTGCCTGATAACAGCTACAATTCTGAAACCATTACTTTAATAAGCACTGGAAAGAGTTAGATTATACAGCATAGAAAGTGCATATGTAGAAGGCTAAACTGAAGATTTCAGTTATGGGAGTTTATCTATAATAATGATAAAAGGCTTAAGAGTTGACATGACCTTGACCTATCATTTTAGTTTCTTGACATATGGGTTCTAACATTGGCCAATGAACATTTCACACTTAATTAGAACTTTTATTTAGAGTATTGATAGTTGGAGAATTTAACACATTTCACTGTATGACAAAACATGGAGCATTAAGAGATTCTTAAGACTGAACACTTTATTTTCCCAGCAAATGAAAAGGTTGATCACTTACTGTAATGGTTCCAGAGAAGGTGATTTAATGCCACTGCTTAAACTTGGCGCTGAGAAAATGTTGACTGCCTACATTCTAGTCTTTTGAATCTACTTCTGGATAGTGCCATGCTTACAGCAATATATCATCTCTGAGAGCTGTTCTGATAATATATTGCTACAAAAAAATGGAGTTGTCATAGAATAATGTCTCTGAAAGTATTTTCAGTACAGTGAAAAATGTAAGGATATTGAAATATTGCTTATTATTAGAGGTGGATTTTTCTTTTGCATAGAGAATTATTTCAGCAAAAACATGTCTGATTTCAATATATTGAAATTGTAATTATTGCAGTAACACTTTTCACGTGTAATAGAACACTTTAATTTTGTGTGCAACCTCCGTCATTTGTCAATGTGTCCCCCAACATGCCCACCAATGGCCAGTGGGTGGGTACTATAATTAACAATGAAAGTGATGTGTTAAAACCCATATTATTAATAAAACCAATATAAAATATTAAATATGTAGCCATTACCACTGTGAATGTGCAATCCTCCAAAAACACAAAAAAGTGAAATCTCAATAAAAACAGTGGAGCACTATATACCTTTAAGGTGCAACAAAAGTGCACATTTCTGTTTAATACAATAAATAGATTTGGACACAACTGTCTTAATATGTATAATGGACAGGTAATTGCACATTTCAAAAAGAAATAGTGGACAATAGTGTAATACCTTAGTACATATAGGTCAATTTTTGGGTGACCTTTCCCCTCTCCTGTATGGACTCTTTTGGTGGATAACTTTAGGTCACTGTAGATCTCAG